GCTGCATTTGCAGGATCCACCTTTAGGAAAATTTGGGGTTTCCAAATCATAACAGATCAAATGAATTGAATTCTCCAGTTGCAAGAATCAAAGAGCTACAGTTATGTTCATCAGAGCTGCGACTGGGAAACAATGAGATAAAATACAGACACTGGTTTTTTCACGGAATCATCAAGTTTGCACTGGAAGGGACTTTGAAAATCATCCAACCCTAACCCCTGCCATGGCAGGGACACCTTCCCCTGTCCCAGGCTGCTCCAAGCCCTGTCCAGCCTGGCCTGGGACATTTCCAGGATGGAGCAGCCACAGCTTCTCCTGTGCCAGGGCCTCCCCACGCTCACAGGGAAGAATTTATTCCCAATATCCCAGCTGAGCCTGCCCCTGGCAAGCTAAAATGCCCTTAGGGGTCACCTGCAGTAAAATCTGTTTGTAACATCAAGGCTGGGACATGGATTAGGCTTGTGAGGGCCCAGTGCCCATTGTCCATCAGGCTCGTGGGTCACCTGCCAGCCAGGGGCTCCTCAGCAGTGCTGCTGGGGTCTGGGCACCCCAATTCTAGGGACTGATGGGCTGCTCCTGCCACGGTCACTGTGCTGTGAGTCCCTCTTCAGCCTCACTGTGTGCTTGGCCCTGATGGCTTGTCAGGGATTTCAGACAGATGATGCTGAACAGAAAACTCCAGCCAGTTCCCAGGGAGGGACTCGGTTCTGGGATTAACCTCCAGCCTCAGCAGTGTGCCACAAACCCCAGCCCACGGGTGGATCCTGCGCTCTGCCAGGCTCAGGCACAAACACAGACACAGGACTGGCTGTCAGCTCCTCCCTGTGCCACGGGCTGTCAGCCCCAGAGGACATCAGCCCTGATTTTTTATTGTTCTGTGTCCCTTGCATAGCCGCACAGATTGCTTAAGAGAATGGCACTCCGTGGAGTTTGACCCGGGAGCCCTGATAGTGAAAATAATGCACTTCTCACCAGAGCCACGGGAGACCAAAAGAGTAACTTCGGTCAATTAGTTTAACTTTGACTATAAATATTCCTTCTCGTTCCTTGTGACCCTGTTAACAGCTCCGCTGGCAAACCCCGATTCTCTGGCAATATTTAAGCTGCCTGTCAGTTGGCAGAGCCCTGCTGGTGCCCGGCGCGGGGAGCAGAATAAGACCCAGCTGAGCGCAGTAAGTTCCCTTTCAGCTTCTACCTCGAGTCGGGAGCTCCGTCGGGTTCGGGGCTCTGCCGGGCTGCTCGGGGCCCCGGCGAGCCGTGGTGGCCGGAGGAGGATGGACCCGGGAATGCTTTAGAATCCCCCCGAGGAGGCGTTTAGCGGGAGCCGCCGGGTTGCTCGGAGCCACGTGGGCTGCGCTGCTGATACAGGGCCGGCTCGGCGGCTTCATTCCCATGCCACGGCTGTCCCTTCCTCACAATCTCTGGCGAGGAAAGCGCCGCCGCCTGTGCCAGGCACCGGGGGACAGCGGGCTGTGAGCTGAATTCACAAAACGGGCAAAATTTCCACTGGGCCACGGCGGAGTCGGGATCTGGGGATCCGCGGCGCTTTCCTGCCCCGGGAGGAGCGGGAGCGGCACCTGCGGCGCTCCGGGCGCGTCCCTGCGGGGCATCCGCCCTCCCTGCCGTGCCCCGGGCTCGGAGGGGCTGCGGGGCTGGCCCCCTGCCCGGCACCTCTGCAGGGACAGACGGACAGACACGGCTGGCCCTGCCCGACACCTCTGGGAGGGACAGACGGACACGGCTGTCCCTGTGTGCACACCCCTGCAGGGACAGACGGACACAGCTGTCCCCTGTGTGCACACCTCTGGAGGGACAGACGGACACAGCTGTCCCCTGTGTGCACATCTCTGCAGGGACAGACGGACACAGCTGTCCCAGTGTGCACACCTCTGGAGGGACAGACGGACACAGCTGTCCCAGTGTGCACACCTCTGGAGGGACAGACGGACACAGCTGTCCCAGTGTGCACACCTCTGGAGGGACAGACGGACACAGCTGTCCCTGTGTGCACACCCCTGCAGGGACAGACGGACACAGCTGTCCCCTGTGCGACACCTCTGGAGGGACAGACAGACACGGCTGTCCCTGTGTGCACACCTCTGGAGGGACAGACAGACAGACACGGCTGTCCCTGCCCACCCCTCTGCAGGCTCAGCCCCGCTGTCCCCCCGCTGTGACCCTGGGCGCACTCGGGGGATCCCGGGGGTCCCTCCCAGCTCAGGAGGTTCCCTGATCCCGGGGTCCTGTGCCCTGCTCTGGCTGGAAGGAGCCAGGGGGACGCTGGAGGAGTGGGAGCAGGGTGAGCAGCTTCCCGGGCTGACATACCAAACCCTGTTTTTCCTTTCCGAGTTAGAGGTTAAGCGTGCCAGTAAAAACTCAGCAGCAGCCAAGACACATTGGCCCTTAAGGAGGTAAGATAGCAGCGGTCTGGCCACCAGGGCCCTGCATCCCTGCCAGGAGGGAGCTGGGATCCAGGGGGCTCATACAGCATGGAACAGGCTCTGCTGGGGTGCTGGGTGTCCCCAGTGCCAGCCTGGTGCTGGCACCTCCTCCCTCAGCCAGATCATGGCTCTCCACCAGCTCTGGCACCTGTGCTGGAGGCTGCAGAGTCAGGATGCAGCTCCCAGCTGTGGGAAGCAGGTGCTGGGATGGTTCCTGCCCCTGGGAACTCCTTATTTATTGCCCGACCTTTGGTAAAAGGATGAGCCTGGTGGTGCTGCAGGACACCCTTGCCCTTGCCCTCCTCAGCCTCCAGCTCCTCACCCTGCTTCTCTCCTGGCTCACCCACCTGGGTGGCAGCACGCTCTGGGCAAGTCCCCAGGCCACAGGCGAGCTGAGGGCAGGTCCAGCTCAGCTGCACAGCTGGACAGAGGTGTTGTGGAGTCCGTGGGACAGGAGAATGCCCCGGCCTGGCTCTGCTGCCCTCGGCTCAGAGGAAGAACTCGTCCGACCGCTTGTGGTGCAAGCGTTCGTGCCGGCTGTCCCGGCACCTCGCCACACCTCCCGAGCCTTGTGGCAGGGGACAGCCTATAAGTGTCCCCTGAGAAGAGCTGGAGAGGCCAAAGGAGCCGGCCAGAGGCGCGGGAAGGGACCAGCAGACACCTGGCACAGGTGTGCGGTGACACCGGGGCTGGTGGCTGCTCTCCCCGGGGAACCCTCTCCTCGGCTCAGCAGGGTAAGAGGAACGATCCCAAACCTGCTCTGTGCTGCCCCGAGGGCTCCCTGGGGACCCACTGTGGCCACTGCTGAGCCAGGGAGTGCCCAGGTGGCCTCGGCTGCCTCTCACCTCCTGTCTGCTCTCGAAGTGTGCCTGACTGAGGCAAGGAGGAAACGGGGAGGAACGGCATTAATTCAAACATCCGACCAACCTCCCTGCCTGGCCTTCATCCTGCCCCTTCTGCCAAGGGACAGCAGCAGGGGGTGCTCCAGGGAGCCCTTCAGGGACCCCACAGTGCTGCCACACCTCACCATCAGGCGATTCTGGAGAAGAAAATGGGGTTTTGGATTCCTTGGTGGCACATTGCCAGTCTCTGTTCCTGACAAGGAGCAGGGGACGGAGTTCCCTGGCTCAGGAGGAGACCCAAGTGCTCTGCACAGGGCTCGAGCTCTTGCTGTGGCAAAGGAGGAGAATGCCAGCACTGCTGGGGCTGTTCATGTGCCACCACACTCTGCTGGCTTGTGAGGGACACGTTTCTGGCAGCAGCTCCTCTCTGGGGCCAGTCCTGCCCTGCTGCCAGGCTGGCTGTAACCCCCAGCTCTGCTCCTCTCTGCTGCTCCAGCTGCTTTCACCTTCTCTCTGATGCCCCCAACTCTCACCAGTCAGAAAAGCACCCAGGGACTGCACCAGCCCCGCTGGCAGCTCCTCCCCATCACAGCAAGGGACTCCTGCCTGGGGCAGATGCCAGAGACAGGAGCCTGCCCAGAGCTTGGCAGCAGCTCCTCAGCACCCTGAGCTCCTCAAAGCCCAGTCCCTCCCGCCTGGGGCTCTCCCTGGCCATGCACCCATCCTTCCACAGGCGTGTGCGGCAGGACAGAGGCGTGCTCAGGAAGCCATGGAGCCCACCAGCGTGCCCCCGGCCTCTGTGACCCCCTCGTGGGACGTGTTCCCCCAGCAGACCCTGGAGCCCGTGGACATCGCCGTGCTCGTGCTCTATTTCCTCTTCGTCCTCGCCGTGGGGCTCTGGGTGAGCAGACACCCCCAAAGCTCCCCGTGTGCCCTGCTGGGCTGAAAAACGGGGCTGGAATTGGGCTGCTTTCCCCTGGACTCAGCTGAACAGCTGGAGGGGGCACTTTACAGGTCCTTGTCCTCCCCTCAGCCTGGGAAGTGCCCTCACTGTCCCTGGGGAGGGCCCAGGCCTGTGTTAGCCAAGGTTTTGAGAACCCTGCTGAGGAAGAGGCTGGCTGAGTACAAACTGCTGCTAACAATGATGTTTTGTTCATCCAGGAAGGAACTGCTGTCCCATAAATCACCTGTGCTTGTCCACAGGGGTCCTGACAGCAGATTCCTTAAATTCTGAACACTGTCTATGTCTAATTAAGGCTGAAGGACATCCTTTGGCATGGCTTTTGTGACAGCCTGGCTGTCAGGAGGCAGAGGGAATAGCTGCTCCCTTGGATATGGTGCACAGCTCAGAGTATTGCACGGATCATCTCTGGGCAAGGGGAGTCACACGTGCAATGCCCAGCATTCCTCCTGACTGCTCCTGATACCCAGGATTCTGCAGTTCTTGCCCAAAACCGCTTTCCTTCCCTTCTGCCCTGGAGGGATCAAGTTTGCTCCTTACCCAAAACGTTCCATCAGGGGCCGAGGTGATGGAAAACTGCCTGGGGCAGCCCCAGGATCTCCAGCAGTAGTGTCCCTCAGGAAAGCCTTCTGCTGCAGCCCAGGGCAGCTCGGGGGCTCTGCTGGGCCGTCCCTGGGCACAGCCCTGAGCCCGTGCCCCTCTGTGTGCCCGCAGTCCATGTGGAAGACGCAGCGCAGCACCGTCAAGGGCTATTTCCTCGCCGGGGGACAGATGGTCTGGTGGCCTGTGAGTACCCCTGTCCCCCCTGCCCAGGGCCCTGTGCTGCACCAGCACTTCTGCTGGGGCACTGCCCACGTCTCCAAACAGGAATAAACAACCAGAAGTTGCTCCTGTGCTTTGCCAGCTTCATGTTGGCTTTTCCCCCCCGGATTTGAGACTGCAGGGAGAGGCCCAGCCCAATGCCTGACAAAACCTGGAGGCTTCTGGAGATTTCCAGAATTCCCTGGGGGTCCCCAGAACGGACACAGCTTTGTGCTGAGCCTGTGCTGGCTGGGCTGTCTCCTCTGGGCTGGGCTGGTCCCTCAGCAGGTGCTGATGGCACAACCTGACATTTCTACCTGTTCCCCTCACCTTCTCTGCTCACACACAAGAATTGGATGCTTTGGAAGCAGGATAGTCCTGAACATGCCCACAAATGGGCAGTGAATGGTGCAAGAAGCTGGAGAGAGGTGCCAAGGCCACTGAACCTGTGGGGAAAAGAAGAAGGTGGCAGAGGCTGACAAGGATTCCAAGTCCTCTGCAGCCAGGAGTGAGGACAGCTCCCTGTGCCCCCTGTGCCAGGGCCAGAGCTGATTTCTCCCTTTCCCCAGGTGGGTGCATCCCTGTTTGCCAGCAATGTGGGCAGCGGGCACTTCATCGGCCTGGCAGGTTCGGGAGCTGCCTCGGGCATTGCAGCCACAGCCTACGAGTGGAATGTGAGTGGGCACAGGCAGGCAGAGCCCTCCCTGCCCTCCCTGCCCTCCTGCCCTGGGGGACAGCGGGGCTCAGCCCGGTCCTGCTGCGGGGCTGGCAGTCCCCAGCTGTGGGGACAGCTGTGCCAGCCCAGCCCGGGGCCCCAGTCTGACCCTTCCCTTCCCTCCCTTTCTCCACAGGGGATGTTCTGTGTGCTGGTGCTGGCCTGGCTCTTCCTGCCCATCTACATTGCCTCGGGGGTAGGTGTGGGCTGGCTGTCCCTGGGGGGGAGGGATGGAGGGATGGATGGATGGATGGATGGATGATGGATGAGGGATGGATGGATGAGGGATGGATGGATGGATGGATGGATGAGGGATGGATGGATGATGGATGGATGGATGGATGGATCATGGTTGGTGGAGAGCCCTGTGCAGCATCGCAGAGAGCCAAACACCAGCCCAGGGCAGCCCCGGGGCCCTCCTGCTCCTGTCCCACTGCAAACACCCCCCAGCTCCTTGGGGAGCCCCTGGCAGCTCCGGGAGTGCCCCAGGGGCTGTCCCACCTTCCCTCACTCCGTTCCCTCCGCAGGTTACAACCATGCCGGAGTATTTGCAGAGACGTTTTGGAGGCAAAAGAATTCAGATATTCCTGGCCATTCTCTACTTGTTCATCTACATCTTCACCAAAATATCTGTGAGTAGGAAAAAAAGAAAAAGGGAAATGGGTTGGATTGAATTTGCTTTGGAAATGTGTGCTGAGCAGTGAGGCTGAGAAAGGCAAGGAGTGGCTCTGCCTGGATGAGCACAGAAAGGTTTGTGATCAAAACACCCAAGGAAGAGAGGCTCTATTTTTATAGAACCTGCACAAAAAGGAGTAGCTTCTCTTTTTTTGCTCAGTTAGCACCTGAATGCTTATTGCAGCAGGAGGGAAAGCTGTGTCAGTGTCCTGAGCAATAGTCCATGGAAAGGTGGGGCTGTGAGGGTGGATGTGGTGATTGTTAGATTTTGCACCCCTGGCAGCTCCCCCAGTTTCTCCCCTTTGCACATTTATTGCCTGTGCAGACACCAGGTGCTGCTATGGCAGGATGGAGGAGATGGGACAGGGTTGGAAGAGAAGTCTTCATTCCTTTATTGCACCTGTTTGAATAAATAACTGAACCAAGCCTTGCACAACAGCTCGGTGGCTGTTCATTAACTGCCAGCCAGGGCACGGATCCATGAAGCAGACAGACCCCTGCTGGGGTTCTTCCTGTCCCAGAGGGGTCCGACCCTGCCCCTGAACCTGCCAGAGGTTCTGACAGAGGACAGTGCTGCCCTGCAGTGTGTGACAGTGACAGTGCTGTCCTGCAGTGTGTGACAGTGCTGCCCTGCAGTGTGTGACAGTGACACCACTGTAACACTTGTTTTTCCCCACAGCCCTACAAACGACCCCGTATTGCTGGTGGGGAATTTCCACTGGGCACAAATGAGGTCCAGCTCCCCCACCATGGGCTTGGGGAAACAGAGGAGCTCACCCCACCCTTCGTCCCAGAGCTGGGCACGTCCCCTCTCGTGACAGCCCTGCCACCCCCCTGCTGTCACCAGCAGCAATGACAAACTGCTGAGGAATGGCCCTGCTCCTGCTCTGGGGTGGCAGCTGGGGCTGGGGGGGCCATGAACAAACCAGGCTGGTCCCAGTAAAGGGGGGCTGGGGGCTGAATGGGCACACTGGGAGGGGCTGGGTGGTGCTGCCCTGCAGTGTGTGACAGTGACAGTGCTGTCCTGCAGTGACAGTGACAGTGCTGTCCTGCAGTGACAGTGACACTGCTGTCCTGCAGTGTGTGACAGTGACAGTGCTGTCCTGCAGTGTGTGACAGTGACACCGCTGTCCCTCAGTGTGTGACAGCGCTGTCCCCTCCGTGTGACAGTCCCTCTGCTGTCCTGCAGGTGGACATGTACGCCGGGGCCCTGTTCATCCAGCAGGCCTTGCACTGGGACCTGTACATCGCCGTGGCCGGGCTGCTGGCCATCACTGCCGTGTACACCGTGTCTGGTGGGTGCTGGGGACACCCTGACCTCACCTGACCTCACCAGCACTGACCTGACCCTGCACTGACCCTGACCTGCACTGACCAGCACTGACCCTGACCCTGCACTGACCAGCACTGACCCTGCCCCTGTCCCTTCCCTGTCCAGACCCTGCCCCTGTCCCTGACCTTCCCCTGTCCCTGCCCTGACCTTCCCCTGTCCCTGACCTTCCCCTGTCCCTGTCCTGCCCAGCCAGCTGAGCCATTCAAGTGTCCCAGCCAGGCTGGACAGGGCTTGGGGCACCCTGGGGCAGGGGAAGGTGTCCCTGCCATGGCAGGGGTGGCACTGGGTGGGCTCTGAGGTCCCCTCCCACCCAAGCCATTCCAGGACTCCATGATTTGTGCCATGCACTGTCCTGCCCCACAGCTGCCTGGTTTTGCCATGAGTATGATACTGGGGTGGGAAAGCAATAGGAAATTCACCTTTTTAGAAGAAATTGCCCGGTGAGGGTAAGTGAACGCTCCGCAGGGGCTGCCCCAGGTGGGTGCAGGTCGCTCTGCCTCAGGGAGAAGCTCTGGAAGGCATTCTCAGGGTGCATTTCCCCTGTTTCCCGGGGCTCCCGGAGGTGTGAGGGATTTGCAGCACAATGAGCTGTGTAATGCAGAAAGACTCCGGGCTTGGATGCCCTTTCAGGGCTTAGGAGTGGCCAAATGGAAAACAGCCACGCAGAAACCCCAGACAAATAAAGGTTATTCCTTTCCCACTGCTCACCCCCAGTGATGAAAAATCACATTCCCTTTTTTTTTCCCCTCCTCCTTTTTCAGCTTAAGCTTTGTTTTAGAGCTTTTCCATGTTTTTTCCCCCGTAGAACTACTTCTGCTTTTGGCTTGTAGTGACAAAATGGTGACTCACGATGACTCCAATCCTGAGGAATTCCAAGGAGTCACTGGCCAAGGTTGCCCCCAGCCAGGCTCGGGGCTCAGCTTGTGCTGCAGCGCTGTGGCAGAAGCAGCCCAGCTCAGCCCAGTTTGTGCCTCTGTGCTCTGCAGGTGGCCTGGCAGCTGTGATCTACACGGATGCCCTGCAGACCCTCATCATGCTCGTCGGGGCCGTGTCCCTCATGGTCTTCAGTGAGTGCTTTCCTGGGGCTCTGTCACGCGGTGGCAGAAGCCTCATCCAGTTAAATATTGGGGAGAAATTAGGGAGAAGTCCTTCCCTGGCAGGGTGGGCAGGCCCTGGCACAGGTGCCCAGGGAAGTTCTGGCTGCCCCTGGATCCCTGGCAGTGCCCAGGCCAGGCTGGACAAGGCTTGGAGCAGCCTGGAACAGTGGAAAGTGTCCCTGCCATGGCAGGGTGGCACTGGGTGGGCTTTAGGGTCCCTCCAATCCAAACCACGGCAGGATTCTGTGATTCCACAGGGGAGGCAGCACCTGCTCCAGCCAGCAGCATCTGCCCTTCCCCAGCCCAGAGGGAGAACAGAGAGCTGCTGGTTTTTAAGGAATTCTCGTGGAGCATCACCCACAGAGGCTGGAATCAGAGTCCTGACCTGGGGGGGTGCAGTAACAGCTTCTCACGACCCTTTTCAGGTTTTATTGAAGTTGGTGGCCTTGAAGGTTTACAGGCAAAATACTTTGATGCCATTCCCAGCATCCGCAGGGAGAACAGCAGCTGTGGCCTGCCCAGGGAAGATGCTTTCCACATCTTCCGAGACCCTGTCACCTCTAAGTATTAGTAATCATCTCCATGGAAAAAGGGATAAGAATGTGTTTGTGTGTTAATCCCAGCCTATAAAGAAGTCTTTTGTTTGTTTTTTTTTGCTTTTTAACTTGATCCTTTTGTTCCTTGTGAACCACCTGTGGATTTCTTCTCACCTTTCCCGGGGTCTGGCTCCCCTCAGAGCCAGGGTCCTGCAGCCCCAGAACACCTCCTGCTGCTCCAGCTGTGCTTTCTTGCTCTCTTATTTGACTGTGCCCATTTCATCTCTGTCCTGCTCCCTGGCCAGGCTCCTCCACAGGAGCAGGAAGAATGGAAATCCTGGGCTGGGTAGGTGGGGGTCAGGCCCTGCAACACAGGGTCCCCCCAGGCTGGGCTGGGCTGGCACAAAGCAGTGCCTGTGTTTCTGAAAGGAGCCAGGATCCAAAGCAAAGGCTCCAGAGGCACAGCCAGGCTCTGTGATCAGCCTGTGAGACTCGCAGAGTTCAGTGGAGATCAAAGTCAGGATCCTCCATCCCAGCCAGCTCCTGCTGCTGGCAGCCAACCAAAGCCATTCCTTCATTCCTAGGTCATTGTTCAGAGGTCCCTCGCTGCCAAAAACCTCTCCCACGCCAAAGGAGGCTCCTTGATGACCTCCTACTTGAAGATTTTGCCCCTCTTTATGATGGTAATGCCAGGCATGATCAGCCGGGTTCTCTTCCCAGGTAAGTGCTGGGGGGATCTCCTCCCTGCCTCTGGCTGGGCCAGCTGCAGAGCTGGAGAAGCCTTTCCTCAACCAGGGAGAGGCTCCAGTGCATCCAATGGCCAACACACGAAGAAATGTCCTTCCAGTTAGGAGCTGGAGGGTGCAGATCCTGCCAGAGCAGCCCCAGACACCCCTGTGTCACTGCTGGAAGCCCCCCAGGCTCTCCAGGATCTCCCTTAGAAATCAATTTACAACACTCAGCAGAGGAACTTCAGAGACACTGCTGTGCCTGGCAATGCTGCCTCTCACTCCACGCTGCTTCTTTCAGATCTGGTGGCTTGTGCAGACCCAGAAATTTGCCAAAAAATCTGTGGCAACCCCTCTGGCTGTTCTGATATTGCTTATCCCAAGCTGGTGTTGGAGCTCCTGCCCGTAGGTAAGAGCCTGGTGATGGTTCTGGCACTGGAGGGGCTGGCACGTGGCAGCCACAGGCAGCTGGGAGGGAAGCTGAGAGAGGCAAATAACCTGGAACTGTCATTTGGGGTTTGTGTGGGGTGAACCTATCACTGTCATTTTGAATTGGAGCTAAAACCAGTTTTAAAAGTCTGTTCTAGCCCACCGAAGAGCTCGAGGCCACCCTGCAGCGGAGCCTCTGAGGGTTCCTCAGGGTGGCTGTGCCTCTCCTCGTTCCCAGGGCTCAGGGGCCTGATGATGTCCGTGATGATAGCAGCCCTCATGTCCTCCCTGACTTCCATCTTCAACAGCTCCAGCACCATTTTCACCATGGACCTCTGGAAACACTTCAGGCCCCGCTGCTCCGAGTGGGAGCTGATGATCGTGGGCAGGTGGGGAGAACTGGGATGAGCTGGATGGGAGCCTGGGTGCCAGGCACAGCTGGGCACAGCTGCTGAGCTGACAGCACGCTGCCCAGCTGGGGCAGGGCTGCGGCGGAGGCTGTTGGGTGCTGGGGCACCTCGGTCACCCCGAGCTGATCTGAGCTTTGTCTCCCCCAGGGTGTTTGTGCTGCTGCTGACCGTGGTGTCCATCCTGTGGATCCCCCTGGTGCAGGCTGGCCAGGGCGGGCAGCTCTTCATCTACATCCAGTCCATCAGCTCCTACCTGCAGCCGCCCGTGGCCGTGGTCTTCATCCTGGGCTGCTTCTGGAGGAGAGCCAACGAGAAGGTACGGGCTCTGCCGGCCCAGGAGCAGCCCTGCAGCCTGCTGGGCTCTGCTGCAGCACAGAATTCCCTCCCTTCCCTCCTCAGGGTGCCTTCTGGGGGCTGCTGGTGGGGCTGCTGCTGGGCGCCGTGCGCCTGGTGCTGGATTTCGCCTTCCCCGAGCCGCGCTGCGGGGAGCCCGACGGCCGGCCCGGCGTGCTCAAGTACATGCACTACCTCTACTTCTCCATGGTGCTGGGGGCCATCACCACCCTCACCGTGCTCCTGGTCAGCCTGGCCACCGAGCCCCCGGCCCCCGAAATGGTGCGTGTCCCCCTCCCCGTGCTCCCTTGGAGCCTTCCTGGGTGCCCCACGCTGCATCCCCGGGGAAAATGAGCTGCAGTGTGAGCCCCTGTTCGTTCTGGGTTTATGGCACAGCTGGAGCAGTGACCCCTCCTCTGCTGCAGCCCCTTTGCTGCTCTTTCTGATTTGGGACCCATAAATCCCACCCTGGACACTGGTCAAGAGTAGATTCCAGGAAGAGCTGTTGCTAAGTTCAAGCCTGTGTGTTTCATCCATGACAAATCAGCCTTTTCCCCTCTATTTTCCAAGAAACTCCAGCTTCTGGGTCATCTTTACCAACTCCCTTACTAACTTAGCAAGGAAACACTTTTACTCACAGAAAGAGAAACCCCGTGCAGGCAGAGCCTCTCCTCTGGAGCAGGTTTGTGCCAGCTGGACTGTTTTCAGGAGATGTCCTGGTGCTGAGGCTGCAGGAGGACCCCGAGGGCAGAAGGGAGGGGCAGGGGGGCTGCAGAGCTCACACAGCAGCTCATCCTCTTGCTTCAGGACAGGACTAGCCCTGAACTCAGAAATGCCCAGCAAGGGAGGTGCCTGCAGGTGTGTGACCAGTCCAGAGCTCACCTGCCCTCCCCGGAACAGCTTTCCTCATCTGCAGCCTGAATCTTTCCAGCTTTACGTGGTGCTCATCCCTCTCTATCCACACTGCCATTGAGAGCATCCCTCTATAATGAGTCTTTTAGATATTTGAAGGAAAAAAAAACCATTTCCCACCTGTTGCCTCTTCTCTCAGCACCCCCACTTCAAGCCAGCCCTCCCTGGCCACAATTTCTGTTCTTTTTGCCCCTCGCTGTCCTGCTGTGCCCAGGGACGGTCCGGCACCGAGCTGTCCCCTCGGCACACACCTTACAGACTCCTTTTTGTGGGGTGGAGGAGGAGCAGCTGCCGTGTCCCAGAGGTCAGCACTCGGTGCTGCCGGGGCAGGAGGGGGGTTCGGCCGGGCAGCCGCAGCAGATCAGCCCTGAGCAGCGCTCTTCATGCCAGCAGATCAGCCGGCTCACCTGGTTCACCCGCGGGGATGCTCCGGCCGGGCAGGAGGGGGCAGCCCCCGGCCCCGCCGCTGCCAAGGAGCCGCTGCAGCTGGAGCTGAGCCCCGCTCCCGAGAGCTGCGAAGGGAACAAAGGTCAGTGACCCCCTGCCCGACGGCCTGCAGGACAGGGAACCTTCAAACGCCTTCCTCTGGGACTCTGGAGCTTCAGGGTGTGCTGGCAGAATGATGGAGTTAAAGAACAGAGAATCTGCTGAGTGGGGTGGGACCCCCAGGATCATCCAGCCCAGCCCTGCCCTGCCCAGACCCCAGCAATCCCACCCTGGCATCCCTGGAGCGCTGGCCAAAGGCTCCCGGAGCTCCGGCAGCCTCGGGCTGTGCCCATTCCCTGGGGAGCCCGGGCAGTGCCAGCACCCTCTGGGGCAGAGCCTTTCCTGATCTCCAGCCTGAACCTCCTTGCCTCAGCTCCAGCCCTGCCCTGGTCCTGTCCCTGTCCCAGGGCAGAGCTGGGAGCTGCCCCTCGGGAGGAGCTGCAGAGCACAGCGAGCTCTGACCTCCATCTCCTCCTGTCCAGGGCAGAAAGGCTTTACCTGACATTTTACCTAAGCAGGAATTGTTTCTTTTCCTGCTCTGGATGGCATTACAACAGCTTGAAACCAAGGGGTTGGGTGGGATACAGAGCCATGGCCACTGTCCTGCTGCCAGAGCTGGCTGCAAAAGGGGAGCTGGAGGAAAACACAGCCATGTTGATGAAATTCCCTTTCTGTTTTCCAGCGGTGTTCTCTGATCAGCTCTAGCAGCAGGGAGAGCCCAGAGCCCTTGGCAGAGCAGTGGGGGAGGATGTGCCTGTTTCAAACTGGTGCCTGTCAGGACCGGGCAGAGCTCCCCGTGCATTCTGCAGCCGTGATTCCCATCCCTTGTTTTTGCCAGGCTCAGCCCCAGTTTATGTAACGGGTCAGCTTTGCTGCTGTCCCTTTGATCTGTGACAAGCTGTTGTGAGTTAATGAGTTGTGGGGCAGCTCCCCTGCTGCTGGGAAGTCTCACTCTTGTTGGACACGAGCGTTGCCTTCCCACGTTTAATGATGTGTGTCCCGAGGCACTGGGGAGCCAGGTTTGGGGTGTGGCAGGGATGGACCAGAGCAGCACTCACCTGAGGGTCACCAAGCAGCTGCAGCTGGCTTTTTGGGTTTGGTTTGTCCTTACCACGGCTGCTGGGAAGGGCAGAAGCTGAGCTCAGAGCTGCAGGGAGGATGGAACTGGAGGGTGCCAGTGCTCAGCAGAGAGCAGGGCTGTTCCTGCAGCCTGTTCCTCACCCCTCACCTCCCGTTCCAGGTGCAGCCGAGGCCAAGGGCAGCTCCAAGCTGCTGAGCACCTTGCTGTGGCTCTGCGGGATGGAGCGCAGGCAGGAGGCTGCTGAGAGCCTGCCCAGGGCTGAGCCCCTGCCCGTGGTGTCCCTGGAGGAGGAGCCGCTGGTGAAACACGTCCTGAACATCAACCTGCTCCTGTGTGTGTGTGCTGGGGTCTTCCTCTGGGCGTACTTCGCATAGCCAGGGGGCTGCCAGTGCCCACAGCATCATCTAATCCTAACTGGTGTAAATATTAATGATTAGCAGAGGGTTAATGTAATTCTTAATGCTTTCTAAATTTTATTTCTTTATTTAAGACATTTTAAAGACATAATATTTTCCTTATTTCTAATGGGGGCCTGGCTGTGCCCACTTGGCACTGGCACCGTCAGACCCCACCCGGCACCAACCAGCTGAGGAAAGTTGGTTTGGTTATTTTAAATATTTAATTTTGCTCTTTGGCCTTAGAGCACTGCCTGGAATTCAGGAAGCCTGGAATCTCTCCTATTTATGCCTCTGTAACCAGCTACGACCATTTGGGTTCCCTCTGGTTCAGCTCCTCTGGCCCTGAGGGACAGGAGTGACACCTCGAGTGCCCAGAGCAGGGCCAGGGGCTGTTCTCTGGGCTCTGGCGTGCCTCTGGCTCAGCTGTGCCCGTTCAGCTCCTTCCCTGTGTGCAGTGAGTGCTGATGGGCCTGTCTGGGACCTCTGACATCCAAACAACACCAGCACCAGCACCCGGCGTGGGACCTGCCCCACAACTGCTGCTGGGGCCACCTGCAGGACCTGAACCAGCCAAACCCAGCAGGTGTGCCAGGGCAGAGGTGCCCAGGGCCAGCCCCCATGGCCTGGGCAGCCACAGCCCTTCTGGGAGTGCCCCAGCAGAGAGCCCTGGGCTGGGGACCACCAGTGGCCCTGGGGACCACCACTGGCCCTGGGCCTCGTGCAGCTGCAGAGAAACATTAAAGAGTGAGAGCTGGTCCCTGCCTGCCTGGAGTCCATGGGGATGGGGGGGATGCCAAGACCTCTGGACCCCACACTCCTGGAGCCCCCCAGCTGCCCTGGCTCCCTGCAGAGCCTGCTCCCCTCCCCAGAATTCACTAAACACTGCAGGGTCAGAGCAAAGCTCACCCCTGCAGAGCCTGCTCCCCATCCCAGCCTGCTGGGGCTCCCCAGAATTCACTAAACACTGCAGGGTCAGAGCAAAGCTCCCCCCTGCAGAGCCTGCTCCCCATCCCAGCCTGCTGGGGCTCGCCAGAATTCACTAAACACTGCTGCTGGGGCCACCTGCAGGACCTGAACCAGCCAAACCCAGCAGGTGTGCCAGGGCAGAGGTGCCCAGGGCCAGCCCCCAGGGCCTGGGCAGCCACAGCCCTTCTGGGAGTGCCCCAGCAGAGAGCCCTGGGCTGGGGACCACCAGTGGCCCTGGGGACCACCACTGGCCCTGGGCCTCGTGCAGCTGCAGAGAAACATTAAAGAGTGAGAGCTGGTCCCTGCCTGCCTGGAGTCCATGGGGATGGGGGGGATGCCAAGACCTCTGGACCCCACACTCCTGGAGCCCCCCAGCTGCCCTGGCTCCCTGCAGAGCCTGCTCCCCTCCCCAGAATTCACTAAACACTGCAGGGTCAGAGCAAAGCTCACCCCTGCAGAGCCTGCTCCCCATCCCAGCCTGCTGGGGCTCCCCAGAATTCACTAAACACTGCAGGGTCAGAGCAAAGCTCACCCCTGCAGAGCCTGCTCCCCATCCCAGCCACTGGGGCTCCCCAACATTCACTAAACACTGCAGGGTCAGAGCAAAGCTCACCCCTGCAGAGCCTGCTCCCCATCCCAGCCACTGGGGCTCCCCAACATTCACTAAACACTGCAGGGTCAGAGCAAAGCTCACCCCAGAGCTGCCAGTGCTCCATGGGCAGGCAGTGACAGCAGGCAGCAGCAGGCAGGAGCAGCTGGGCACCTGCAGCAGCTCAGAGTCAGGAAATGCTCTTGTTAAAGCACACAAAGGGAACTGGCACTGGGGGATCCTTCCTGAGCCTGTGAAACGCTGCTGGAAACCCTGGGGGAGAGAGGCACTGACAGCTTGGGGGATAAACATCAAAATCAGTCACAGGACTGGAGTCTGTGGCTCTTCAAACTGAACCTGGAGTTACAAAGATTAGTTACAGGGCTGCTGTGGTGGCAGAGGAAGCTCCCACAGGGCTCCCACTGAAGTCCTTAAGGGAAAAGCAAGCTGAGCAGCCAGTGACTCCAAGCTACAATCCAGGGGATCACTGTGACCTTCAGTGGAACTTCACTGTCACTCAGTGCCAGCAACAAAACTAGAATAAAGATGCCTTAAGTTGACAAAAAACAATCTTTAATTTTATAAATGTTCACTCAACTTCTGAATCCAAACAGCTGTTTCAAAGTTCTTTCAAAACTCAACCGTTTTCAACAAAAGCACAAACCCCATTTCCACGGTTTCCTCGTGAAACAGTTGCCAGTTGCACATGAACAAAGCAGGTTAATACAAATAACTATGAAATCAGGGTAAGTACTGATCCTAAGTAGCAATGAAATGATTAAAGAGACAGAAGTTCCTCCGACAGCACGACAGTCCTTCAAGGCACTGGATGCATCCACAGTTCCACAGGTGACTGAGAACCAGCAGTCACCACCAGCACTGGGGCAGGGGTTTGGTTCATGGCTTGGGGGAATCTGCAGCAGATCCGAGAGGGAATGTCCCTTGGGAGGCAGCTCCTGCTACGGGCTAAGAACTACAAAGAACCTCTAACCGAGCCGTGGCAAGGATTATTTCCGTAATACAGACATGCACTTTAAATAACTAACCTTCTGCTTCTTATTCTTTTGGAATTTCTGCTAACACCACCTGTATCAGCACTGACCACGCTTCCTAGGCGAGTTCCTGCAGGAATTCATTCCTTCCATCCAAGGGTTTGAAAACCGTTGTCCAGACCCAGATCATTAAACTTCTTCTGAGGGCGAAAGCGGAGCGCGGCCAAAGGTTGGGCTCGATTTCCTGAGAGGTCTCCTCCAACCTCGGCCACCCTGGAGCTCAGTGTCCCCACGAGGCCCCAGGGCCAGCTCTGCCCAGCCGTGCCACGCTGCAGAAGAAGCCTTTCCCTGTTAGGTCTGTGGTTTTCCCCCCGGAGAGGAGCCAGGGAAGCCGGAGCGCTGCTCACAGCGCCGTGCTCTCCGTGTCATTGTCAATGTCCAGCAGCAGGTGGTTGTGCAGCTCTCTGCCCGCCAGCTCTGCAGGAAGCTCTGGAGGAGGGTTTGCAAGTGGCTCTGGAATACTGGAATTAGAGTCTGCACAAAAAGGGAACAGCAAGTTTAGCAGCCGGGCCAGGGCCAGCTCACTCAGTCGGGGCTTCCTGGGCATCTCCTTAGACAGAGAAGGGAAAGCAGAGATCAACGAAGGCTCTGGGCACAGAGCTGGCCCCCGTGGGCACACAGGGCTGAGCCCAACTGAGCAGCTGGGATTGCTCCTCCTACAGAGCCTGGGCCAGTCCTGGGCACAGGAACAGAAACCCAGTTCTTCCTGAGGGAGGGAGGGCACCGAGCCTGACTTAGGATCAGATTCCTCAATGCCCCTGGGGAGCTACTCTGGACTTTCATGTCAAAACACTCAGCAAAATAACCTGGCACCTAAATCATCCACCAGGGAACGCCGCCTGTGACTCTGAGAAGGAACAGGAACAGGGATGGTGTCAGAAGGAGGCAGAAGTTATTTACACCAAGTGCAGATTAAACCTCTCTCCTGTGTAAACAGGGCATGTCATGGTCTTTGCCTCTTCTGAGGAGAGGATGATTTTGTTCAAGCCAAGGTATCAAAAAGGGATCTCTGCTGCATCTCTGGTGACTGACTGCCCTGGCAGCTAGAATTATCAGACCAGAAAAATCCCTAGCAGCTCAAAAAAGGCAACTGAAAATCTTGTCAGGATTTTGTTACAATGCGCCATGACATCCCTTAACTGCAGTCCAGCAGCTGCTCCACATAGGAAGTAATTTAGATCACTTAAATCAACAAAAAATCCAAATAAATGCCTTGTTTTCAAGCACAGGAGGTGCAGACAGGGACTCATAACTCAAGCATGAAATCCTGGAGTTAACCCAGAAGTTGCTGCAGAAAAGCTCAGGTTGAAGGTTTCTGAGCTGAATGACCTGGAAGAGGGGGAAGCAGCCCCTGAGTGCAGCCTGCCCTGCTGCTGAGCCCCCCAGCCTGCAGGATCTGGGATCTGCACGGAGCAGCTGCAGTCCCACCCTGCCCTGGCCTGGCACTGAGCACGAGCTTCCCCACGGAACCCCAGCATGGTTTGGGCTGGAAGGCACCTTAAACCCCATGCCAGCCCACCCTCTGCACGGGCAGGGACACCCCCAGCTGCTCTGGGAGGCTGTGGCACGGGACAGGGCAGTGACACTGGTGGCAGCAGTGACAGCAGCGGGCTCTGCGTGGACACAGCAGCTCTGGGCTTCTGAACACCAGACAGCACAGGGGGAGAGCGGCCAGGAGACAGCAAGAGCTTCACATTCTGCTCTCCAGGGCTTAGTGGGTTAATGGGAGCAGCAGCAGCCCGTGTCTGGCCATGCCAGGGACACACGCAGCACTGGGGGGGGTTAGTCGTTAGCGCACACATCATTAGCAATTAGCAATTAGCAACAGTGTCGGCCAATCAGGGGCCTTTTCCTTACCATTGCACTTGCCAATACAGTTCCTACTGAATGCTGGTCAAACATCTGGATTATTTAATAAAACCTTTGATTAGAATATTCTAGGGCTTCTTACTTGAACACCCTAATCAGAATTTGAGGCATTACTAAAGCCCAGTGCACGGACAAGGGAGTCAAGAGTATCCTGAGACAGTTCAGAATTCCTGCTCAGGGGTCACTATGAGGACTGCTGGCACCTTAATTTTGTCCCCTCATTCCACTCGTTAAGGTTCAAATTAAAACCAGCAGCTGCACATTGTGAATTAGTGAGTCTGTAAGTGCTTTTATGTGCAGGTGTGAATATTAGAGCAGACACTCTTATGTGACAGTGGTGGTGTTAATTCAGATTATTAATCCTTTAAAAACACATTGATCTGGAAAAGGTGGATGCTTTAGCATGGAGGTGAGCCTGAGAGTCACTTCAACCCCTCCCCAAGGGGATTTTAGCTGAGCAGGCTGGATCTTCTAGGTCCCTTCACCAGTTTTGGAGAGGATCCTCCCTCAGCAGCTTTCCTTTCCTGCTCTCCTGCGTGGCAGCTCCCGTGCTGGGCTCACAGCACACACCTGGGCCAATTTGCTCTGCTTGGCAGTCCCCTCTGGCAGGTGCTTGCCGTGCCCAATTCTCATGAAGAGCCCCAGCTGGGTGTTAATTACAAGATGAGGATTTCTCCCATTAAACTGGGGTAAAACAAACCCTCCCTGTCTGCTACCATTGAAGCAATTTCCTCAGAACCAGGAAAACCCTAAAGCTCTTAAAGAAAATAAATATGGTCAAACTATGAAACACTTGGAAATTTAGATTAAGTCTTTCCTTGAAGTCTGCCTCATTAGCACAGCTGCTGCTGCTGCTAACTTCATTGTGAAGTGCTGTCAGGATTCAGAGCCCAGCCCCACTTCTGACTTCAGCCTGGGAATAAATTATCCTCATATTTTAAATATACTGACAAAAGTACAATCAGAAGTCAGTTGTTTTAAGAATCAAAGCTACTTTTCAGTTGCTTAAGCAGCTTATTTACTGCAGGTTCCTTCATGGAACCCCATAATGAGCAGGGACACCCCCCATCACCCCAGGTTCCTCCAAGCCCCCCCCAACCTGGCCTTGGCCACTTCCAGGGGTGCAGGGCAGCCCCCAGGCCACCTCTTTCTCCAATTAACAGAAACCCCAAACCTGAGTGATTTCCAGCCTGACTTCTCAGTGCAACACTGCTTTCAGTGTCCTGGCTGCAGCAGGGAAATCCTGCTCTGCTCAGGCAGCCCCAGCTGTGGCAGCTGTGACAGATGTGACACAGCTCAGCAGCAGCAGCCAGGGCTCCCAGCCCAGCAGGGACGTGAGTGGGGTGTGCAGGGGTGGGACTGAGCAGGCAGAGCCAGCAGGGAGCTGGCAGCCAACGTGCCATGCTGCAGGTGCTGTTCTGCCAGGGGTTTGGGCACATCAGCCTGCATTTTGCCAGAAAAACTCCCAAGTGGTTAAAAATCACTGCAAAGCTAAAGGGAGAGCTACATTAAAAGGTAACCACGAACCACCAAATTGTAGGAAAAGTCATTTTTGCCTGCACTGAGGAGAACAAACCTGCTGGAAAGGGGTCACCCATCACACCTGACTTGGGGACTAACTCTGGGGGCCTGGTGTGAAGTGCAATTCTTTCCAGGGACTTAAGGAATAACTGAATGCTCACAGTCCCAATTACAGCTGAGCAGCAGAGCCTTAAACCCTCCTGCTGGCAGAATGCTGTGCTGGATGGAGCCTGGAGCAGCCTGGGACAGTGGAAGGTGTCCCTGCCCATGGCAGAGGATGGAACAAGATGAGTTTTAAGGAACCTTCCAACCCAAACCATTTTGGAATTCTACGATTCCAAACCAAGCTCCCAAAGAAAACAATTAGCAGCAAACAAAAAATCCCCAGCTATGTTATCAAAATAAAGTGGTGCATTATCAAATACAAGCATTTACTGATCAATAGCTTTTGAGAGTTTGTTAAACAGCACTGGTGACACTGTCACCATTCAGAGAGTCCAAAAGTCACAGCTGCTTTACAGCCAGGCCTTGGGGACAAGCCAACAGATTGAACTGCTGTCTGTGTAAGGGCAGAGATGCTGCTGAAGTCATTTCAGCAGCATTTCTGCAGTACATCAAGGCTTGGAACACGTGGATGGAAAGCAAAGGAACACACACCTCTCCTCAGGGCGTGGGGACTGGGCCCAGCATTGCTCTGGGGCTGGCTGACAGAGAGCTGGGAGCTGCTGGGCACTGCCTGGGCACCGTTCCTCACCGGGGGAGGAGTGGCTGCACTCGTGCTCTCCTTGGATTTTGAGGTGCTGGAAAGGAAAGAGCTCAATTAGAGATGGTTGTAACGTGCCTTGTCTGGCTCAGCTGCAGCTGCTCCCTCACAGACCGTGCTGTGGATCAGATATCAGGGAACAGTTTTCATGGGAAGCATTGTCAAGCCCTGGCACGGCTGCCCAGGGAAGCGGTGCAGTCACGGTCCCTGAAATGTTAAAAACACGTGGATGTGGCCTTGAGGACTCAGTGGGGAACGCTGTGGCAGTGCTGGGTTGAGGGGTGATGATGAGGATGAGCCAGCTGAGGTGGTTCTGGGCAGGGTTCCCTCCTGTGGCCGTGCACCTGCAGGATTCTCTCACTTCTTTATACCTGGAGTCACCTGCAGCAATTTAGCCCTCAAAAGGACTGACTTTATTCACTTCCACTGAACTGCAAGCCCTGTTTCTCCAGATGCTGTTAACAAACTGTGAGTACTTGCACAGAGGCTGTGCAGATTTTAAGTGCAACTTTCCGACACGACCCCCGAGGTTTATTTTCAGCTGCCTCTGTCACAAAAGCCATCTGTGGAGGAAATACCGGTGTGCAGGGGATTTCCAAACGAGCTGGTTTTGTAAATATGTCACCTGAGAACAAGCTTTGTGCTGAGGAGTCAGTGCTGCACCAAGCCCCACGGTGGGGTTTCACCCTGAGGCTGACATTTGGAAGCACTGCACGCTTCACACGTGGTTTGTCACAGCTCTCAGAACACCGAGGAGCTGACAGCAAAGTGCTGCTTCCACCCCTCACAGGAGGAGGTCAGGCTGCTGCAACTAGCCTTGGAGTTCAGGGACACAAGCACAGAGCTTCAAGAGAAATTAAACAGCAGAGAGCCTGTGTACCTACTTGTCCTACAGAAACTAATCCTGAAATAGGATAAACTGGCTGCCAGTTTTCTAGTAAGCAAGTCTGCTCATCACTAACACCTGCTACAGACAAATAAACAAAACAAGACATAACCAGATAACGAGTACAAGAAACAACAAACAAGACCAACAGGTTTCTGGTATTGCCACTGTAAGTTCTGCTCCTTCAGCAGCAAACTGGTATCACCTGTGTGCACATCTCCAGAACATAACCTGGGAGGGTCAGTGTGGCCAGTAAAACAGAGTGTATTTTTCAGCATAATTTTTCCCCCAAGAATTGCAGAAGATGAGCTCCAGAATGAGATGAGCTCCAGATGAGATCATCCAGAAGATGAGCTCCAGAACAGACAGAACTCTGTGTGTTATATTAACAGATAAATTCCAGAACACCCAGAACCATGGATGCTCTTTTGTAAGGCCAATACAGTGTGTAATTTCAGAAGCCCAATTGTGGAGCCATACCCGTGGCAGGAGAGCTCCTGCAGGGCGCTGCTGCCCACACTGCCAGGGCACGTTCAGGGCACATCCCGGGCACATCCCAGGGCACATTCAGGGCACATTCAGGGCACATTCAACCACCAGCTGGCTGCCGGAGCCGCTGCCAAGCCGCTGCCAGCGCAAGCCGTGCCTCTTACCTGGCATCCTCAGAGCCTGGAGGCTGGGGCTGCTCTGCTGGGGCAGCAGAGGGCGCGGGGCCAGCCCCGGGGCCGGGCTCAGCCCCGGCGGGCGGGCAGGGCTGCTCGGCCCCCGCGGGCTCGCAGGGCGGCAGCGGCGGCTGGAAGGCGGGCGATGTGAGCTTTCTGCTTACAGTGCCACAGCGCCGCGGGGTCGCGGGCAGCTCCAGCACCTTCACACCAAAGCTACAGAGAGAAGAGAGAGTGAACACAGCAGGCGGCCACCCCCGGTGCTGCTGCGGCAGGACCCTGGGTGTCCCACCCCAGACAAACCCACATGCCAAGCAGCGACGAGGAAAGCTCCGCTGGCTGCACCACAAACACCGTGTTAGAGCCACCACTGGCTGCACCACAAACACCATGTTAGATCCTCCACTGGCTGCCCAACACCTTGATGTTAGATCCTCCACTGGCTGCCCAACACCACGGTGTTAGAGCCTCCAGTGGCTGCACAACACCAGCAATGTTAAGAGCCTCCAGTGGCTGCACAACACCACGGTGTTGGATTCACCACTGGCTGCACAACACCAGCAATGGTAGAGCTTCCAGTGGCTGCACAACACTATGGTGTCAGAGCCTCCACTGGCTGCCCAACACCAGCAAGGTTAGAGCCTCCAGTGGCTAAAAACACCACGGTGTTAGATTCACCACTGGCTGCCCAACACCAGCAAGGTTAGAGCCTCCAGTGGCTAAAAACACCACGGTGTTAGAGCCTCCAGTGGCTGCACAACACAACGATGTTAGAGCCTCCAGTGGCTGCACAACACCAGCAAGGTTAAGACATGCAACAGGACTTGGCTTATCCCCACAGAGGGATAAGCTCGACGTCAGTGAACAAACTACTCGATTACATTTGGAGACAAACACTGATGACAATGAGGTCAGAGCACTCGAATCTCACATGTAAATACAGACGTTTCCTTACACACCACGGTAGCTCCTCACTAAATGTATTTTGCCACATGAATTTTGTTTCTATCACACACTAAGTTGCAGCAGAGATTCAAAAAAAGCTACTGGATACAGGCTGTGATTTGGGGGCTGGAATGAGAGATCCTTACAGTCCTCTCCAACCCAAATCATTCTATTTGTGTTTCAAGGAGAACAGTGGAGAAACAGACCCCAACTCTAACAGATTTCAGAATGCATACAGCACATTCATTCTAGAAATTATTTTATTCTGTTGTGTTAAACACTGAATCTTGAACTGATTTTCTTCTTCCTCTGTGAGTGCTGACAAATTTGCATGTGGCTGCTCATAGCTAACAGGTAACAACACTTGCATCAACAGCTAAAAACAAGCACATCACTTGAATACTCATGATGAGTGATAAGAATGAACGTTACACTACATGTTATATGGGAAACAGCACGTTTTACTGGGAGTTTTTAGCATTCTACTGCTTGCTGTGGCAATACTGTACCATCATCACTCAGAAGTCTTATCATGAAGGCACCAGGTAACACCACCTCAGCTTATGGGCTTTGGAAGAGAAGCCATGGAATACCAGGAGTTAGAGACTGAGAGAGGCTACTGCAGACTCTTCAGTGAACCTCAGACCACCCCCAGTCTGTACCAGGAGAATGGGGACTGGGAGCAGCAATATCTGCTGGGGATTTATCATGCATGGAGTGTAACTGGAAGGAAGTAACAGTACATTACCTTTGAGCCATCCTCAGGCTGCAGCAACAGGAAATAAAAGACTATTGTTATCTACAGCATTTCCATGAAATCCCTCTCCTGACACCAGTGAATGTGTCTGATTGAAGCCTCATTGGAAGAGGGCTATAATGGACCCCTAAGGTGAGAATTACACCTACCTGTCCTTCTTCAGCAAATCCCCTTCCATCACAGTCATGCTCAGAGGCCTCTTCCTCTCCAAGGTCCCACATTCATAGTCATTCCCAGTGTGTGACAAGTGATTGGAATTTACAGCAGGAACTGCCACAAACGCCCCAGACACGTTGAAATCTTCATCTGAAGAGGGACAGACAGAATGCCTCCTTAGACACACACACACATCCCAAGGGGTGCCTCACTGCACAGGCCACTGAGGGTGACCTGGGGGCAGTGTGAAACTGCTGGGCTGTGGCAGAACTCACCTCCAGGGAAGAACCAGTCTGCGTGCTGAATGATGGGCTCAATGACTGCTACCACGTGCACCGAGGTGGCTGCTGCCATTTCAGCAAGGGAGCTGTGGGAGAGGTTTGAACAACACTTTATTCAGAGTTCCACCAAAGTAAGAAAATGAAAATCAATTCAGACTGATGGATCAGCTCCTCAGTACCAGAGAAAGAGCAACTGTGCTGGACTCCAGACCATTCAGTAACATTCAGAGCTTTTGGAAACACCCCTAAAACCCTCCTGCCTCAAAGGACCTGGAGGCATGGGCTGGAAAAACACTTACAATATTTTTTAGGTAAACAGCCCGTTGCTGTGAACTGCTAAATTCCTTGCTAAAGCATTTAAACCCATCAGTTCTACAGTTTCACCCCGTTCTGCTTTGTAGCTTTTTTAAAAGAACTCACCCTTCATTCTTTGCCCACAACAAGTTGGGGCCCAAGACTATGGCGATGTTGCTCGGTGTCATTTTGTTAACGTCACTGTTCTGGGCAAGCTTGGCTAAAAATTTGATTAAATACCTTCAAAAAGGAAAGAAACAATTAAACAGCAGGAACCATGAGCGCTTCTTGTTGAAAACAAGTAAATAAAAATTCAAGAGCTTGTACAGAGAGCTCCCAACAACACGGAAATGAGATGAGCAGCCTTCTTGCTTGGCAGCTGCCCAAAGCTCTGCTCCTGACTCATAAAAGTTGAATTGGGGAGCAAAGAAAGCAGCTCCCATCTTAGCAAAACAGAACCACAGAAATATGTACTTCCAGAGAAAAATGCTTAATTTCAGCTAGTTTCACGTCCTGTAATGGAAATTCCATGCTTCTAGGAATCACCAGAGCTGGTTTTGTTCCGGTTCATTTCCAAAACACAAAACCAAAAGGGAAAATGAGATGTTTAACACAGATCCAGGTGATTTCTAAGACTGGAAACTACAGCAAAGAGCAGAGCATGAGCCATAAGTAGAAAGGCTCTGTGCATCACTACTTCCTGACAGCCAGTAGGGAACTGATCTGAGGACACCACCTATGCATGGCCACTGCTGCATGAAATAGCAGGTATTTTTATAAATCCCACTGAATTTGGCCAAGAACAGCACTCCTGGATTAGAGTTTAGTTTAACTGGCTCTGGGGTGCAGCTGAGCTAAGAGATGTTCACACCTACCTGAAGTTAACACGGTAATGCTCAGGTAATCTGTTACAAATCCTCCACAACTCCTGCAGCTTCTTATCCTGGTCCTGAATACTGAAAGGACAAAAAATGCCATGACATCTTACTTTCAGGGCAGGAATTAGTTGTTTCTGCAGTGACAAAGAGATGATCAATCACCCTTTCATTTATGCCAAAGAAATGTTTTGTACTCAGTAACCTGCTTGTCAGATCCCTGAATTATCTCTACCTGCAACAAAACTGCTTGAGCATGAATACTGTGCAGCCAGCAGCCTGAAGCAGCCCTAACAGTTAAACAAAGTAGATATTTCACTACATTTTGTGCAATTTTTATTAAGCTATTTATTGTTTAAAATAATTTGTTACACGAAATACCCGTTAGTAAAACAATAAATAACTGTGTGAGGTTGGTTGTTTCTTTTGAATTCATCTGTGAAGAATCAAATTTAACAGAAATATGCAGCATGACTTCCTCTACAGGTATTTGTAGCATGCTTACTTTGCAGCTTGTGTCCACTCCTCGTACAGGCTGTAGGTCATGAGAGGCTCTGGCAGCTCCCGCAAATAGGATTTCAAGGCACCTGCAATGCAGACAGGGACAGGTTGGCTCCTCAGCCACTGCTTTCACACTCCAGGAAAATTCTGCCCTCACTTTGCAGTTTTATCTGTGCAATGAATTCCAAGTACCAGGGAAAGTGGTGAGACCTGACGCTTGCACAGTGGAGCTGCTCGGATCTCAGCACAAAGGGTCTGTCAGTAATTGGTGCAGTAATTTGACAGAAACATGCTGTAAAACTCTGAATCATCCCTTCAGGACAAGGACTTCTTATAAAGATGTACTGAAGGTCTACACGTGGCTCTAACCTACCTTGACCATGTTAACACTCTTGCCATGAGAGATGTGACAGCTGGGCCATTGTGATCACCTGAATTTTACACACCATTGTCACAAATAGAGCAGCTGTGATCAGCCCAGGCACCTCACACTGATCTGTGTCAAACTGTGCAGTGAACTTTCCACTGACTGTCACTTCTCCCAGTCTAACTGTGGAGATCAGCCCCTGAACAGCACGAGGCTGTGCTGTGCCAATTTACAGCTGCTTTGGATTCAGAACACTCCCAATACCTGCAACAGCGTGGGGATCTGAGTAAAACTCATCCAGCTGGGAAGTGGAACAGTCCAGGGCAGCTTTCAGCTTTTTTAACTTGGAGGCTCCAGCAGCAATTCTGAACAAGCCCTGCATCAGAGAAATAAAATGCATTGATTGGTAACCACACAATGGCACAAGCACGGAACAGCTCCAGGTTTACAGCAGCCTCTTTCAGAACATTCCAGCTTTGGTGCCTTCCCCTGCCAGCTGTGACCCAGCTGGCCCTGCACGTGCCCTGTCACTGCCACCTGACCATGGCTCAGCTCTTTCCCACCCTTGGCCCATCCCTAATTTCATTTTCCGTGCATCCACTTCCAAGATACTTCACACAGTGCTGAGGTTATTACGGTACAAAACATTTACCAACTACTAAATGGAGAAATTAGTTAAGCAGCATATTAACAAACAGACAGCAGTTTATGAGCCTCACTGGGCCCTGCTCCCCTGTGGTGATCTGGAGTTACCCACCTCCTCTCTCATCCCTGTTTCCAGCAGCATCATGACACAGGCTTCGATGGGAACTGCGATTTCCCGCCCGCTGCGCTTGAGATGCTCTTCCAGGGGAGTTCCAAAAGCTGGCTTTTCAGTCCATTTGTCTAAGTTGGAGAGTATCAAAACACTGAGCAGGATATCTACCAAACCCTTGAATTACAGCCCAGGCAAGAAGAGAAAAAAGCCTCTAGTACAGCACGGAAATGTTCAGACTACAGCAGGAGTTTTACAGCCCTTGATTGGTAAAGTCCCTTGGATCATGAGCAAAGAGAAAATGAGGCTGCTGGTGGTCAAGAAAAAAATACTTCTGCATCTTTCTGGATGGAATATCACATACAAATTCTGTGTATAACTGGAATTATAAATAACAAACCTCAACAAGTGCCAGCACAAGGCTGCACGTTCCAGTAACAGTGATTTGGCTCTGCAAGAATCTGTGAGGAAAATTTTGTCCAGACTGCATGACCTGGGCTGATTTTGGTTTTAACTGTATTTAAGGTGAATAAAAACTGAGCTGTTTCATTCCTTAAATTTCATCCCTTAAATCAGCAAATTACAATGGATGTTAACAGCCCCAGTGTATCACATCAGAACTACCATGGTAACAGCTCAGCACCACAACGTTCAAATTTTCAATTTAATTCTTCAACTCTCGTTTAACTCCAATTTGCACAAATTTCTCCAAATTGAATGTGAATTTCTTCTTTCCTACAATTTACGTTCTGACCCATTTCTGCTACTTTAACTGAAAAAATGCAGATGTAAAAGGTTATTGTTAGTACAGATGTGTTATTTCTTTTATGTGGAAAAGAGGCCAAGAAGGACAAAAACTTCAGAGGACTTCAAAAAGTGCTCTGAAGGCAAAGTGTTTCTACAAAGGATTTAATTCACCCCTTTTCTTTACAAAACCACATCAATCACCTCCCTTGCCTGCTTTTAGTCCCTCTCATTTGTTAACACACCATGAGATGCACATGGCATTTCCCAACCTCTGCAAATTACAGCAAATATCAGGAAAAGAAACCTCAGCACTTGTTCAGAGCCCCAGCTCCCATCCCTGGCAGTGCCCAGGCCAGGCTGGACAGGGCTTGGGGCAGCCTGGGGCAGGGGAAGGTATCCCTGCCATGGCAGGGGTGGCACTGGAGGGGCTTTAGGGTCCCTTGAACCCAAACCTTTATGGGATTCTAATTTACACTGCAGCCAGGAACACAAGGTGAGGAATTCCCTGCGTTCAGCCACTTGGCCACCGTGGCTCCCAGCCACTTTCTAGGGAGGCCAGTCCATTCTAAGCCTTTGCTGCTCAGCTGCTGTGCCCAAACTTTCCATGCAACAATAACAAATCTCAAGCAGCCATATCCCCAGAGAACCTTCTGCACAGCCCTGCTGAGCCCTGCTGCTCACACAGAGTCCAGACATCATTTCCCACAATGCTCCTACTGGTTTATCTATTGAATTGGAACAATCTTCATCAGCTGCAGATACCTGAGCCCTCCTCAGCTCAGATTGTGTTTTCCCTCAGACTCTGTTCACCCATTGCTCCAAAGATTCAGGGACAGCCCAGCCAATATTTTGGAGAGTAGTTTCCAAAACAAACAGTGCATCTTCATCTCAAATCATCAGTGATACACCTGCAAGTCCTCTGACAGTGGAAGCTTAGCAGCAGCTCCAGTTCTTCTTAGGGAAGAAATGAAGCTGTACAATTAAATTTTTTAACAGCTGATAATCACCACAAGAACCCAAACTCTCCATTTCCCTGCATGTAGTGCAGACTAGGGAAGAGGACTGCACAAAATGAGGGGAAAAAAATCAAGCTCCTTAAAATCCAGGGAGTTTTCCCGATAATCACCTCAAGAACCAAATCACAATGACACTTTCATTGGCCAGAAGAGCCAGCTGCAACTCAGCAAAAGGGCACAAGGAAAACAGGTAAGAAATTGAAAAATCCTCCCTTTACCCTCCTGGACATCAGAGAGATCCTTAATTAATATTTTATTAGTGTGTTAAACATGGCTGGAGAACTCTGGAGAACAGGAAGATGGAATTATGCTTGGGAATGTAAAACTGTTAAGCAGATCAAAATGGCCTTATTAAATCAGTCTGCATGCAAGAGAATCAAGATAGAGGAGGAGAATATTGTGCATAGGTGGCACAGGCAAGGAGAAGCATCAGCCAGAGCACAGGTTACTTTACCTTGATGGGCTTGAATTTCGGGTAGGACCTTTTCTATGACTGCTAATGCTTTTCTATGGTAATCTGCTTGTGCTTCTAATAACTGAGAACAGAAGCCACATTTTAAAAACAAAAAGAGCATTAGCTTCTGATGAGCACATAAGACAAGACTAAAGGTTTAGCACACAAAATGCCATCTCTGGGAGCCCAGTGTGTGTGCCCAGCCGTGCTGCAGCAGAGCCCGTGCAGCACTCACCGTCACAAAGCAGCGCGCGTACTCGCCCTCCTTGGACACGAAGCTGTACATGTCTGCAGCCAGCTGGTCCTTTGGGAAACAGGCAAAGCAGGACAGCACAGTTACCCATCTCACACTGGACAGACGGATTCATCGCGTTTGTCTGGCCTGCAGGAAGTTTGAACTAAGAAGCTGTAATGCGCCTGCTCTGATCCGAGCGTTCTTCAAGCAAAATGATTTCAGGATCTTAACTTTTCAGAATCTTAACTTTTCAGAATCTTAACTTTTCAGAATCTTAGCTCTGGTTTGTGCAGCAAAGCAGTTGCCCCCCTCAGTCAAGGACATATTGCCATTCGGTCCAGTTGTTTATAGCACTCAAAGACAAGCACTAATAAAAATGGTTTCAGTTCTCAGTACTCAATGGAGCGTTTGCTGTTGAGAAGTGAAAATGAATGTGAGCTGCTCAGAGGTGTCACAGGTCCTGGGATGGCCCAGCTTCAATTTCCTCCAGGTGCCTCCTTCTGCACAGCTGCCCCATGGCTTGGAGCTCCCAGACACCCTGAGCATTCACTCATGGCCAGGACACAACCAGCTCAGACTGAAACTGAAAATAATGTCCAATACCCAACTTAGAAACACCCTGGCTGGAGTTCCTCATTGAACTAAAGCAATCCAGAGATCAGCTGGCATGAAAATGCCCCCAGGACAGGCACTGTCACAGCCACATGATTTGCAGCTGCACAACTGGGCAATCCCATGGGAGCTGTGGAAGGGACACTCGTCCTGTCCTTACCTTGCACTGCTCTACTTTATTTCCAGCTTCATCCATCTCTTCCTTAAGAGACTCTATTTTTGAAGGATGCACTTGGAAATTGGTTCCTGAAGTCTTGTGGGCTTGGTTGTATCTGGGGAAGAAAAGTTTCATTCTGTGAGACTCAGTATTCAACATGAATCTGCATTTATGGCTCCCTTGGAGTTGGTTTCTCTCAACAGGAAACAATCCCCACAGTTCCAGAGGTTTTCCAACAGAACCAAAAGGTTCCAAACACACCATTCATGACACGCTGACACAATCCACCAGCAGCCATAGAAATCACCAGGGATCCTGTGTGTGCCCCACAACATGGGTGTAGAACATGCTGAAAATGGCTCCACCAGTTCTCAGGGCAGTGGAAAACCATTCAAAGGCACTCAGGGGTGAGGGAACGAGCCAGGAGCCTCCCAACGAGATGGCTCCAAACAGGGCTGTGAAAGCACTGGCTGTGGTTACACAGAGAGGTTCCTGCTCCCTCTTTGAGCTGAGAACTTCCGTGGTTCCTTATTGAAGTTAAACACTTGCATGAACTGGAAACTGGATGAGTTTCCAACATTTTTCCAATTGTATACAGGCGTGTAAGAACTCTGAAATCTTCATTCTGTTTGGATCTAGCAGTCATGGATCCTCTTCTGGTGTAGCTTAAATGTAACTTTGTCTTTTTTCACCTATTGCCAGCTCACAGCAGCATTTCAGGAGCAAGCACCAGAGCAGAGCAGGTGCCACGAGATGCCAACAAGGAGCTCACATGGACACAAAAGCACCCAGTAACTAAAATGCTCTCCTACCTTCCCCTGGCAGAATCCCAGTCCAGCACCAGCTTTGCAAGCTGCTTCCTCTGCTTCTGAATGTTTGGGATCTCTGTCTGAAATGAGAATTAGGGGCTTACACTCAATTTTAAATTGTGCACTGTAACAAGTTACATGGTGTAGGCTTCACACCCGCTTTCCACCACTAACACAGGGCTCCATAAAGCAGTTTTTTAATACCAGCCCTGAGATAAACCCCTTTTGCTCAGTTTATGCATCAGTCCAGACGTGCTCCTCCTCTCAGGCTGAGCTGTCTCACCTCTGTCAGCAGGCACAGGGGGTCTATAACTTCTCTCTCAATCTGTACTTCATGCTGGGAGAGCTCCATTGCCAGTTTGTTCTCTGCATCCCCACAGGTATCCAGCATTTTCCTGTAGGAATTACAGAAACTGTCATGGCAGTCACCACTGACTGAAGAAGGAGTGAAGGCAGAGCAGAGCTTTGGAAAGCTCTGTGCTGTAGAAAGCAAAGCATCCCTTCGTGGCCTGAACCCAACTGCTCTGTGCTCTCTTGGAGAAATCTGGGACAGGCAAGTGGTGTTATTAAACCTTTTTCTTCTGAATTCCTGAGCCATGACAACACTTTGGAGGCTTTCAGACACCCAGGTGATTACAGCACCCTGAGGGCACAGAAGTCAGTATTTCTTTCCAAGCCCATCCTTGCATCTCAGAGATGCAAGATAAATTGCTCAGTGCAGTATTTCATTTTCTCCTAAGCCCCTTTAATGGGAAGGTCTTAACACCCTAATTCCCAGCAATCCCATCCCCAGCAGTCTCAGGCTCCAAACCCATGGCCTGACCTTCATTTTATGCTTGTTATAAGGAAAACCCCTATTCTACAAGATTTTTATCCAGGTTTAGATCTCCTGCAGTGGCTCAGAAATATGTTCTCAAAGGTTTCTGAGGTCATTCTACACTGTCTCCATAAGAATTCCCACCAGCAAAGGAAAACCCACTTGGCTCCAGGAATTCAGCACAGGGAGCTTCATTTGTTTCAGCCACTTTCCTGTAAATTGCAAATGACCACTTTGCCAGGATAGATAAATTTGGGCTACTTTGAACTAGGAGCCATTAATGCAAATTGACATTATTTTAAGTCATCAAGTCAAACCTGCAGAACGCAGTTTAAAATAAAAATGCACTTTAATTGTAGGATACACAACATTTTAAACTTCCAATGGAGATGATAATTCTACTAACCCAGAAGGAAAAAAAAGCCATTTTAAAAGCTTTTATGACAGCAGAGCATCAGAATCCTCTGGAATGCAATTCAGCCTAAAACTTGTCCCCAAATCATTCCAGAAAAACTGCTTGCTCACAGTTTCTCCCTTTGGATTAGAGAAAGAATCTAGAAATATTCAGTTTTATTAGACTGAAACCAGCCTTTGTGCACCAGAGGCTCTGATTAGAGCCCTGCAGGCAATAAGATGTCAGGCAGCAAGTCAGGAAAGAAAGGCAAACACTTACCCCAGCAGAGTTTCATCACTCAGCTGGATGGATCCTTCCTGCATGTTCTGAGCCAGAGCTGTTAGAGGAAGTTTTTTCTGTGGAACAGAAGGAACAGTGCTTTAGTGCTGCTCACTCTTTCCAGCCTCCCCAGCACATCTCCTCTCAGGTCCTGCTCCTCTTCCATATGGTTTCTATTACACAGACAGCTCATTCTTGGACTCCAGGAAAATGCCAAGTCACAAAAAGTTTTGAGCCCCAAGTTTCCTGTTCTCAGACACTTTGAAAAGTGCTTTTTTCTCAGTTTTAGCTGGAATGACTGGCCCAAAGGTATCTCAACCACTGCCAAGGAGAGATAAACAGCTTCAAGCAGAGATTTAAGCACCCAGCTTGTCACCCTTCTCTCCTGCTCCCAGGTCTCTGTTACTCAATAAAAGTGTGAATGTGAATTCTTTCTGGCTCTGATGCTTACAGAAAAGCTCCCTACAGCTTTGCTAAGGAGGGCACAATCAAACGTGTACAGAAAGGCATTTGCAGCCAGCTGCAGGGGTCCAAGGGCACCTCCAGACCTGAGAGCTGGGTCAGAGCTGCACATTGTCCCCCCCAGCTGGGCCAGGAGAGCCCTGGCACCCAGCAGGGACCAGAAGGGTCCTGGCACTGCTGAGCTGCTCCCAGCCTGTGCTGGGACGGGGCTGCTCTGGGGTGGCACCGGGGTGGCACTGGGGTGGCACTGCAGTGTCACTGGGGGTGGCACTGGAGTGTCACTGCAGTGTCACTGGGGGTGGCACCGGAGTGGCACTGGGGTGTCACTGGGGTGGCACAGGAGTGTCACTGCAGTGTTACTGGGGCTTCGCTGGGATGTCACTGGGGTTTCACTGAAGTTTCACTGGTGTTTCATTGAGATGTCACTGGAATGTCACTGGGGTTTCACTGGGGTTTCACTGGGATGTCACTGGTGTTCCACTGAAGTTTCACTGGAATGTCACTGGGGTTTCACTGGGGTGTCACTGAAGTTTCACTGAGGTTTCACTGAAGTTTCACTGCAATGTCACTGCGGTGTCACTAGGGTGTCACTGGGGTTTCACTGGGGTGTCACTGAAGTTTCACTGAGGTTTCACTGAAGTAATGTCACTGGGGTGTCACTGGTCTTTCCCTGGTGTTTCACTAGATTTCACCAGTGCCAGCAGCCAGCTGCTCTGGCAGAGCTGTGCTGCCCTGGGCTGCCCTGGCAGGGCAGCAGGGTGGCAGCCAGCCGTACTCACGTGTCTCTTGTCGGGGTCAGTGCCATGCTGGCCCTGCAGACAGGCAATCAGCCTCTTCTGGGCCAGGTGGCACACGGACCTCACAGCGTCCAGGCGCCTCTCGATCTGCTCGGCCAGCCAGAGGGGAGGAAGAGAAAACAACACAAAAACCAGAAGTTATTTCCCTGGCCTCAGCAGAAAACATTCCCCCTGTACCACACGCCGCTCTGGGCTGCAGATTTCTCAAATTCTCCGGCTTACAAGAAGTGCAGCTGATTAGCAGAAGTGCCTGACAGCAAAAATGCTTGGGGGGAAACTGAAATTGGATTTCTCTTCAGTGGTACAGAAATTCAGTCAGAGCTCACGGCACTGGAAAGTGGGAAAGGGAAAAAGCATTGTCTTGCTTGGCATCTCTGCAAAAGGGAATCAGGGTGGCACTTGGCATCTGAGATGAATGGCACGTGCAGGTATGTAAGACACTAATTTAGAGAGGAAACCGTGGGAAAAGTCCTAATTTTCACAGTGACCTTGTGAAGTAGGTGCTGAGGACACATCTGACAGCTCCTTCCCACTGTACACACCTGCACTCCAAGCTCCTCCTGCGTGTCCTTCCCTGGCTGTTAAACACAAGGACAAAGCTCCCACACGCTGAGCAAAACAGAATTTCCAGGGAGACACTACTGAGATTCAAATGGGATATGGAATGAAAAAATAGGAGTCAAAGCCCAAACAAGAGTTCTGTTTATCAGCATCGAGTTCAAACATGGCTTAATGCACAGCCTGTGAATAGGACAAATATATACATGATAAACTGTTCTTTTAAGGGATTTTAAGCAAGGAATTTGGACTATTTTATTTCAAAGAACACCAAAAACAAACGAAGTGATGAGCAGTGGGACAGAACGGCTCATGGCACTGGGCTCTCTGTGCACAGCACCCAAAGAATGCTGTTTATCTGCATTTTGATGACTCACCAAGAATAACAGGAGGCCCTTTGGAATGGATTCTATTTAAAAAGCAAGGGGAAAAAAAAAAGTAGATTTCATCTGTAGAAATAATCTGAACAGAATCCAGTTTTTGATACAGCTCTAAAATCACTTTTATTCTATTTTCAGGAGGGCAAAATGAACCCAAGTTGAAGTGCTCAAAACAATCAGTAAAAATCTGTTAGGGTAGAAAAAGCTGCAGAGAAACTGCCCAGAGATTGCTCTGAGAGCACAAGGCTCTGCCTTTTATCTACAGAGCATGGAGCAACAAATTCAAAACTAAGCCCAGGTGGGAAAAGTCCATGAGGAGATCAACAAGGTAGAGGAGAACAAGCAGGTATTCTTTGTGCTCTATTGATGCAGCCAAGATTATTCACTTGTGTTATCTTCAAAATGCAATCCTGGAATGGTTTGGGGTGGAAGGAACCCTAAAGCCCACCCAGTGCCACCCCTGCCATGGCAGGGACACCTCCCCCTGTCCCACGCTGCTCCAAGCCCCCTCCAGCCTGGCCTGGGCACTGCCAGGGGCAGCCACAGCTGCTCTGGGCACCTGTGCCAGGGCCTGCCACCCTGCCAGGGAGCAAACACCACCACCACACTCTAAGCCATCCTCTAGTTACAGAAGAATTCACTTTTGCAAGGTCAGGCAGTTAAAACTCCTAAGACTGAGCAGGTTTTTCCCGCGCCTGGAGCACGGTGACACCTGGAGCACGGTGACACCTGGAGCACGGTGACACCTGGAGCATGGTGACACCTGGAGCCAAGGCACCTCTGAGAGCCTGGCAGACCCCAGGGCAGGCCTGGCTGGGGCTCCTTGCAAAGGCTTGGAGCACACACATTCCCAAGGCTCTTTCCAGGCCCCTGAACTGCAGAGAGGGCAGATGAGTGACAGGAGGAACGCGACCCCACAACTTCAGAGTGCACCCTCTCCTCTCTGATCTGCTTTCTAGTGCAGAGATGTCAAGAACACCACAAAGGACATAAATTTCCTTCAAGCCACCTCTGAACTGACAGTGTGACCCACAGCCACGCTGTCTGTCCCCTCAGGCCATCCCCAGAGCACAGAACATCACACAATTGCTTTATTATCTGCCACAGGGCCGTGCCAGAAAGCAGGGCTATTGTAAAGGCCTTTGAGCACTGAATTATAGCCCTTGTCTTCAGATGAAACACACTGAACAGACACTTGAAGTGGAGCACAACCCTTCAGAAAACAGAACAAAAAAAAGCTGTAACAATCCTGTGGCAAAGCTTGGGCTAAATATAAAAAAGCCCAACTGTGAAGCGTGTTTGTGAAGTGAGCAGCACCATGTTTCCAAACTCGTGGGTTAGATAAGAACCTCCTGCCCCTGCTCAAGCCCCCAAGAGCAAACAAACAAGTGAGTAAATTCTTCCACTTGGGTGTAGCCAGGCTGCTCGGGGCCTGGGAAAGCCTTGCTTGCAAAATTTTTTTGGCAACAAGCAGCAGAGCTTTTGGCTTTCACTTCTTGTTACTATTCTGCAGCTAAGCAAGAAACCAGCTGGGCCCTCTCAGGCTACCAAGGTGTTTAACATCCTTTGTGCCACTGAGCTGCACACCTCCTCAGAAGCTGAGAACACAACTGTCAAGCTGGGAAGATTATTTTTAGTTTGTATAAAGCAACCCCCTGAAAAGGGGGTGAAATGTTTCAGGTCACCATTACACTGGCACAGGTTGCCCAGAGCAGCTGTGGCTGCCCCTGCATCCCTGGCAGTGCCCAAGGCCAGGCTGGACAGGGCTTGGGGCAGCCTGGCACAGTGGAAGGTGTCCCTGCCATGGCAGGGGTGGCACTGGATGGGCTTCAAGGTCCTCTCCACCCCAAAGCAGTCTGGGATTCTGCAATTCCGTCTATTTGTGCTGAATTCATGTCTGAGGGCTGGCACAGGAACCTGGAGAGCTCTGAAGCAGAGGCACTTCCAGCTGCCTGACCCCCCTGCCCAGCTGCAGGCCCCGAGCTCAGGCAGGCTGAGGAGCTCTGGAAGGAACCAGAAACGAGCACCACACTCGACCCCAGCAGCAGCCAGCCTGACTGATCAGCCCTCCCTGATTTGTGTTCCTTTCACAAAGCCTTCACGGAGAAACCAGAGGAACACAACTATGTGGGACAAGTCTGCAGGCAAATCTGCTCCACGGAATCAGTCACCCTCGTTAATGTGACAGTTGCAGCTTAAATTCCACCGTGAAAGTCGTGTTTGATGAGATGATAAATCTGCACAAAGATGACAAGTCTGCAAACAAATGGATGTCAGCGTGACAAATCTGAGAACAAGTACCACAGCTAAACAAGAAGCATTTGTACACTCACTCAAAGCAGTAACAGACTTCATTAGTGAGCAGTTGGAATGATTTTTGTGCCACTTCTCTTAAGGCCCAGCTGATCTGTCCAGGTGAAAGCAGCGAGGGCAGAAACCAGCCGTGCCCAGCAGGGTGTCTTCATCCTCCCCAGCCAGACTGGCACGTCACCAGCACCAATAATTCCTGGGCTCAGCAGGCCTGCTCATCTCACTGAGAGCAGGAATGGTTCCTCCTCCACTCCACCAAGCCATGGGAATGTCAGAAATAACTGAGATTTTCTACTCAAAATGTACCCGTTTTTTTCAAATGCTGAAAAATCCAGCGTTCCATCCCTGACACGTGCAGTATTTCTCCCCACACCAGGTTCTCCACAAACCTCAGAAGGCTCACACATCACAGCATTAAAAAAAACACACACGAAGCATGCCACAATACCTGCAACAGGTCTTCACTGAGTACCTCTGTTCTCTCAGCCCTGAGGAAGGAAAAAAGACATTGTCAGACAATTGGCATGTTCAGGGTCACAGACTGCCTCAACAATTCCCACAAAACCTGCTCAGTTCCAAGTTATGAGTGCCACTGCTGCAAACAGCACCACGTTCACCTGTCCCAGGGAGTGGGGAACCCTGGCACCCCTGGAGTGCCCAGCCTGCAGCACAAATCCACTGCCCCAAGCTCCAAATGGTGCTTCCAGCTGCACGTGGAGTAACCCAAAGCCAACGGAGCCAATGCACCTGGGTGTAAAGGAACACAAAGCCAGCAGGGGAGCCAGCATCAGCTCTGTGAATTCAACTGCAGAATTCATCCCTCAAGCACTGGGGATGGCAGCCTGAAGCTTCCCTTGGCCCCACACACACAGCCTTCACCAAAAACCTCCCACCACCTCATCCTGCTGAGCTCCCAGCACCAAACCAGAGGCTTTGGTGCCTGACAAGCTCAGCAGAGGTGAATGTATTCCCAGGAAAGGCTGCCTTCCTCAGCAAACCCCTGACTGCTTCCACACTCAGCCACGCTGCTGTCCCTGCACACACCTCCACAGCCTACACAAACTTCACATTGTCAGTGCTGACACAGGTTTATTTGTTGTTGGCACTTGGGCTCTAACAGTGATTGAGTCTCTCTCTGCCAGGCCTATAAAATAAAGATAAATTCAGTTCCCCTGATCTCTCCTCTCTGCTGCTCACCGCTACTACACATCTACAGCAGGGAGCACTTGGAGGGACTCCAGGACACTCTTCCTGTTCTGAGAGTTTCCCCTGCTGCTGCCAGAGTCCCTCAGCCACCCCAGGCTTTATCAGACCCTGCAATCTGTCAAATAACCCACTGCAAAGCCAGGCACACACAGCAAGCTCGTGTTCCTGACCAGCCCTCAGCAGCTGAACGTGCCAAAAGCCTCCAAGGACAAGATTCCTCCAGGTTTGGGTTGGTGCTTTTAAAGCATTTATTTGACTTCAATTTTACAGCACATTATCTGCTTCAACTAGTTGTGAACCGTAAGGTGTTTAATAACTGAATGCCAGAATGAAGTAAAAGCTCAAAACCTGGGCCAGACTCAGACAAAAGCAGCTGAAATACTCTGACAGCACTGCAATATTTATTTGTTGAGGAAAACACAGACAAGATTGATAAACTTTTCTCCCACCCAAACAGAAATATTTCTTCTGACGGAAATTACATCCTGTTAGAGAGCAATTATTTATACTTATTATTTATATATATATATTTTTTATCCATGCATAACCCACTGTGCTGCAACCACAACTTTAATTCAAACCCCCTCAAACATTAGAATAGAGCTTCCACACAACTTTAGGGTAATACAGAGTTTGATCTCTCCTTCCCTTCCTTTTCCCCAGGATATTCTACCCACTGCAGTGAATGGGGCTCAGTAGTGTGCCAGCAGAAGTTTGCTCCCAGTTTAAGTGTGCCCACCCACACACTGTGGATCACTTTGTGAAAGTGTACAACAATGGTACTTCTTTTTCTCAAACGGCTTCTGCAGGACCCAAAGCCCCGTGGGGCAGTGCAGGTCCCCTCCCTGGGGATGCTGTCCCCAGCCCTGGTGGCAGCAGGAGCCTGGCCAGGCCAGGCAGAGCCAGAACAGCCCCTGGTGATGATGTCAGGTCGGAAGTGCAGCGAGGGAAGACCTCACCCTTCCTGCAGGCCCACATTCCACCTTTAATAAGGAAGCCAAGAAAGAGCCACTAAATAATGTTGTTTTTCAGTGATCACAACCATGAAAGAGAAAACTCAGCCCTGTGATAGCAGCACAGCCCATCTCCTCTCTGCACAGGGGAAAGCAGCAAACCATCAAAGGGACCTGGCTCCCTTGGAATTAACCTCTGTCTCCCTGGAATTCACCTCTGTCTCCCTTGGAATTAACCTCTGTCTCCCTGGAATTACAGGTATGACCAGTCTGAAGTTTCCATCCAACTGCAGCTTTGAGGGATGCTAATTCCTTCTGCCAGATAATCAGGGAAGCAGCAAACTTCTAAAAAAGAACAGAGTTTCGTTTTCACTGTTAAACTTCTGTCCTCAGCCCTTGTTAGGGCTTATTTGCACCTTATCTAACTGAAGCAGTGAAGAAATCCTTCTGGAATCAAGAACTGGAAGCCTGAGCTGCAGAGTGCTCCCAAGGGCTTCCCCAAGCCCAGCAGTGCTGCTCACTGGCCACCAGCCTGGCCACCCTGCCCTGGGACACCCTGAGCCCAGCCCAGGCCAGGCTGCAGCAGCCTGGGCTGCTCACACCCCCAGAGCTGAACTCCAGTCCAAACAGCTGAACCTGCCTTGCAGAGCCATTAGTAATGGGTAATTAGCCCTGCCCAGCCCCTCCCACCATGGGATGGCCCTGCAGGAGCTGTCCCTGTGCCTTGGGGGACAGGATCCACAGGGAAAGGGGCACCTGCCCGGCCCAGAGCCTCCCACAGCTCTGGTGACACAGGTGGCAGCCCCAGAGGTGGTGCTGGCACATGGGACAGAGCAGGGCATGGGCAGCACCCTGGCAATGCTGGATTGGGCACACAGGGCTGGCACCCCACCTACAGCAACAGCACTGGCCTCAGCTGCCCAAATCCCAAATATCTGCCCTGCAGAATGGAGCTGCTCCCCTGGGAAAGGAACTTCTGGAGCTGAGGCTGCTCTGCTACACCACAGGAACCCTGGCATGAATGACTGCTGCTGAGGTCTTAAGCCCAGCAGTGCCTTTTAAAAGACTGATTGTAAAAAACACAACAGAACAACCATTTGTTACGGCTGTGATAATCCTCTTAATGACAGAAGGGGATAAAACTACTGAACCCTCTGAAATCAGTATTTGACAGGCAGCACAGCCTGCGCAGAGCCCCCTGCGCTGCCCCTCTCCTGCAGGGATGCAAAAACCTGACAGGAAGAGCTGCCCCTCGGGCACAGCAGCTCGCCCAGGTCACCCTCGGGGCACACAGCCTCCCTGGCACAGCTCCGGGCTGGCAGAGGCAGCGAAGGGCAGGGCAGCACAGCACAGCACAGCACAGCACAGCACAGCACAGCGCAGCACAGCACAGCACAGCACAGCACAGCTGCAGCCAGAACCCTGAGCAGAGCCAGCCTCGCCCCCCATGATGCCAGCGCACTGAGGAACTGTCATTTGTAACAAAACTGTCGGTTCTCCAGGCAAATTGTCTTTTCAAGACAGTGAATACTTAGCAAGAAACAGGATATGGAACAGAAGTGCTGGTGCCGTTTCCTATTTGTGGGTGGCATGGCTTTAACTCACTGCAAGCAAAAACCCAATTGGTTTTTCAGGGAAAGACTGTATCTTTTTATTCTAGACATGTTAATCACAATACTTTGGGTGCTGTGACATTTTAAAAATGCATTCCATGTGCCCCTAATTGAACTCCTGTCAGAGTGCTTTATGGTATAATGCTTCTAATTCCCTTTACTTTTTCCTTTCTTTCTGACCTAGCCTGAAGCCCAGCCAAGCCACGGGGCTCTGCTGCAGCTCAAAGCCTGGCTCAGCCCAGGCAGGGTGGGCAGAACAGCCCCCAGCCCACAGGTTAAAAACTGATCCCCTCAGTCATTTTTCCCCAAAATGACTTGGTCATTTTGCAGCCCCTTCACACTTCCAGGCCCAAAGTCTTCTGTGTACATCTGGAAAGAGCAGATGGGAATTCCTGAGACAAAAGTGTCTATCTTCCGTCGGGAAAGAATTTACATTTCCATGTAGATCTTCATCTAAAGAGTATCTGAGAGCCCCCTGGTCCTGCCCATCACTGGGGCATCAGTTCTGAAGCAGGGCTGATCTCCAAGGCAGGTGAAAGCTACAGAACCACTGCAAGAGACTTTTTACAGGGGATGGGGGAATCTCTCTGTCAGAGGGCAGGGATAGATGGGACACAGGAAGGAATTCCTCCCTGGCAGGGTGGGCAGCCCTGGCACAGGGTGCCCAGAGCAGCTGTGGCTGCCCCTGGATCCCTGGCAGTGCCCAGACCAGGCTGCACAGGGCTTGGGGCACCCTGGGACAGTGGAAGGTGTCCCTGCCATGGCAGGGGTGGCACTGGATGGAATTTAGGGTCCCTTCCAACCCAAACCATTCCAGGATTCTGTGAAATGCACGCTCCTGAAAGGCTGACCAGGAAGGAACGAGAGCTAACCTGACACATGAGCCATAAAACCCTGGCCAGTGCCAGCAGAACAAGTGACTCAGTTGAAATGTCACCCTGGAAACAAACCCTGACTCACCCAGCTGGGCGGGGGCCCTGGCAGAGGTGATGCCATGGCAGGGCAGGGACAAGTCCTCAACCCTGGAAAGGTTTCAGTGGAAGCAAGGAGACATCCACCCCAAACTGGAGACACAATTAGAGCCAGCCTTCCCTGCTGGGTGGTTTTCCCCAAACAAAGGCTGTGTTTGTTACCAGCTCAGCCGCTGGTGAGGTAACACCGAGCACCTTGGCGGGCTGGCAGCACATCCTGCCTGCTTTCCACATACAATAGGCAGCACTTGCTGCCAGGAAAAATGAAAGAATCAGCAGCTCTGCTCCAAAACAAGGAACCCAGAATTAGATGACAATTTCCCTATAAAAAGGTTTGCTTTTCTAACACTCACCAAGACAAACTCCACGGAAAATACAACTCCGAGGTGTTTCAGGACCACCAGCTCACTCCTGCCTGTTTGACCTTAGGCTAATTTTCAATGGAAACCAGCATGACCCAAGGTAAACATCAATATTCTGAAGTGGCTTTCAAATGTTCAAAAATAACTCCGAGAACACTGTCAGGTGCTAGTCACCACTCACTTTCAGTATTAGTATTTAGGGAACACCACAACCAGCCATCAGCACGACTTTTAGTTTGCCTCCTATTCTCATTTTTCACACAAATTAAAAATGTAAGCTTCCGTGCATGTATTAAAATTGATTTAATTGCAAATCTGGTGACCACGGATGTGTCAGTGACGCAGAAATCCCACCAAAGGCTGCTGCTCTGGAGCTCACCCCC